AAAAAACAACGTTTGAAACTATTTTGTTTTAAAATTTGTTCTGGTGCCTGAATAATTTGGTTCAAAAAATTTTAAGCGGCTCTTTTATTTCCTATGATAGCTAGCAGGCATAAGAAAGTGTTATCAGTAAAGGTGTAAAAAATAACGAAATTACCCCTATTAGTTAACCAAATTGCTCTGATACTCACATTTATGAAGAAAAATATCTTTCACATGAAAAAAATGCTATTGTCATGAAATTTGCTCAAAATGTTTCCCCAACCTACATTTAGATAAAGAAATTCAAAAGTTAGAGAAAAATATATGAAAAAAATAGTCTTTTTTTCTAATTTTGATTTACCTTTAGATTTCTTGATATATCAGTAAAAAGCGGTAAGTACCCCATACGAGTTTTTTGATTCCTTCGAAAAAAAACTACGCTATCAGGCCGTCCCTTCCCGTTCCTTCATGAAGTTGTTCGAAGAACAAGACCGAAAACCAATAGATGGTTTTTTATTGAAGAGTAAATTTAAGGACAAGTTTGTATAGTTAATCAGTTTCTTGAGAGTAATACCGGCCAAGTGGGGACTTAGAATTTTTCCGAGGGGGGGGGGGGGGTTGGAGTTTTGGAAAAACAGTAGCAAAATGCATTCAAAAAATCAACACAATTAAACAAATTGCGGCAAAATCTGTCTAGGACATCATGAACACTTATTTCCACCTCTTTGTGGATTTATATTAAGGCTTAACTCGATAAGCGATCTTCCTTCATATAAGATCGAAGGTAGTTCTTCAGCAGTTTCATATTGGAGAAGAAGCGTTCAGCAGTGCAAACTGCTACTGGAAGGATTGCTCAAATTTGGAGCAGGGCGTGCACGACTGGCTTTGTCGACAGATTCCTAGGGCATCAGAAATTGATGGTCCAAGGTTGCCAGGCTTTGGAGTAAAAGCACTGAACGAGGGTGGGGTCCTCTGGTGAAGAAGGTCTTGAGTGTTGAAGCCAGAAACCTTGGAGTCCTTGGAAGCAGTCCGTTTTGACACCTTGAAGGTTTAAGTTAAAAGTTAAAGTTTACTCCAGAGTGCAGTGTGAAGTCCCTGAAGAAGATTTTAGCATTAGCAAGGTAATTTTCAACGGGTTATATATACTGTGAAATAGGCAGGTTGACAAGTACCAGTTAGGTACCTGTCTCGAGTCTAAAGTGAGTGTCTGATTTGAGGCCTCAAAATTTGACTCACTTTCCAACTAAAAATTTTCACTTCTCAAGTATTTTCATACCTCTACTACAAATGGACCGCCGCCAAAAGCGTACTTTGACAAAAACTTTGGAAAAAAAAACAAAAGGGCACTCTTTGGATAAAAACCAGAGGGTCAATTTCCGGAGGAAAAAAGAGCGTCGATCACCCCCCCCCCCCCCTCACCTATATCCGCTACTGATACCGGCGGTTGAAAAAATAGCCTTAACAAAAATGACCACCTTTTTTGTAGAATAATGATTATATCAATTCCATATCTAAAACAAGAATAGTTGGTTACTGTTTGGAATGTTCCGACTAGTCTTAAAAAATACAACGCAAATTTTTTTCAAAGTAAGTTCGTTTTTTGGCGTGGTGTGATACAAGGAGCCAGGGGAAAAGTAGATATAGGCATATTCGACAGTCATAGTAAAATAAGCGTGTTGAAAAACCTTTTTTCTGTAGAAAAATGGCTAGAAACAGCAAAAAAAACTAAGAATTGTGTTGTTCAAAAATTTTTGATATTTAAATGTAGTTTTTTGAATTTTTGAAGTTTGCGGAAAATTTAAACACTTTGCATAATTCTTATTTATAGTGTTGTAGTTTTAACGGATTGAAATAGAATCTTATGCGATTGCAACAAGACTGCTCGTATACAAAAACAAAACAATGATAGTTGAGATTGCGTTTGATTGATGGTACAAAAGATTATTATGACCAAGTAGTTTGCCTAAATGTTCCAACTTTCCAAGAAAATGAAATTTTTATATTTGGTGCGGTTTGTTATGTATTCCGTTAATTTTTGTCGATAAAATAATAGTTTGTAACTAGAAATTTTTATACTCCATTCAAGAGATCAACTCGCTGAAATTGCATAAAGTTAATGTTTATTTTCAATTGTTTTTTGTAAAACTCGGGGAATTTGAAAATAGCCAATTTGCTCATGCTCTGGACTAATTTATGCGTGCTTTAAAGATTTTATTGATTATGTTGAAAGTATAACGGTAATTATTTATGTGTGGCAAATTATCCCTCACAACAAAATTGTTTCAAATTGAATTGAGGCTACCTAATTGGTCGTATTAGTTTTGTACGACTCAATTTCTCACACTTGACTTTTGGTATTGTCCAAAATTTACAGTTTTTCAACTTTTTTTTCCAAAAAACATTTGATATGGATTGAAGGGCAGTCGGAATTTTCAGGACTTTGCCCTAATTAACGAACAGTCTTACTTCATTTTTAAATTGTTTTTTGTATTGGGTAACTCGCCATCCACAAATACTTCGCGGTATAGATAATTTCCAAAGTAAACGTAAATTAGTCCAGAGCATGACAAAAATGCTAATTTGAAACTTGAAGTTTCTTTTTTCTTGCGACAGGGCGTCGATAATTTCCTTAAGAAATTTAAATTCTTTGTTAGCAGCTGTTATTTTGATCTCCTTCTTTGATTTCTACAAAAATACATCGCAATCATAATAATTCGATAAGTTTTTTGACATACGGATTAAAACCAATTAATTAGTCATAAAAACTGCACTGCCTACACAAACTAAATTTTTCCGAGGCCATCTAAATAGCTGCCTGAAAATTCAGGGTTGCAATTTGACACGACTAGCAGTCATGTTTTTAGTATTTCTAATGTAGTAGTTAAAAAACATTGTATAATTTCTGCATTTTGGTAAATTGATGAGATCATTCTGATTATTTTGTTGGGTTTGAACTGATTTTACAGCCGACAAATTGCGTGGCAAAAATCATTTGCAAACATACATTACAAAAATGAACCTTATCTCAAGCTAAGTTTACAAGTCTGGTACATCTATCTCTCTATCTCTCTCATTGAAAACTTCTACGACTCAAACAAAGTTTTTTTCCACACGTTCAAAATTTGTTTTCGTCGCAATAACTACAGTTTTAGCATTTTGGGGTTCTTGTGTATCCATCAGTTGATCGGAGTGTTTGAAAATTGTGAGAGGTTCAAGATTTTTTCATCATGTGATGTTAATTAGATAACAATTGTGGCTTCCCATAAAACACTCATTGAGACTTTTTTTTGTAGGAAAAGTTGAGTCTGGACTGCCTTACAGACTGTGTCAAAAATTTACAAAAGCGTATGCAACATTTTTTCGAAAAGGGTTGTTTAAGCATAGAACTGTTTTTGAAAATAAAACAGAACGATCTTTTGTATAAACATGTATAGCTGATTTAAAATTATCTTGAAAAAAAAACTTTTTTTTAGACTCTGAAATTTTTGACATCCCAGTAATAAAATCAATTTTTGATGATCAAAAAGCTTTTATGGCAGTCAAAAAAGCGAAAATGTTGTTTTAAAAGCAGCAAAATATTTTTTGAAAGTTGAAATCAAATTTTAACAACCATTTTTCCTCCATGTATGGAGTTGAATGAAAAGCATGTTTTTGTATGGATGTCAACCCGGGTAAGAAAGTAACTACGATGACAGAAAAAATTAAATCTAAAATTATTTTTTTTATTTGATTTAAAAAAACACCAAATTGCTTCTCGTTTATGTCAAACTTCTCAATTTCAGTTTTTTCAGTTTGCAGCGAGGTTTTTTCACTGTTATTACTTAAAAATTATTTGAGGTATGAAAAAGGACATTCGAAATCACCTTGTTTTTTCCCAGGTACAAACAGCATTGTTTAGAAATTTTCGCCGCTAATTACACTACGATGGGTTTTAGTTACTGAATTTTTTTGCTAACATTGTTAACCTCTTATCAGATTCTCTTAAATTTTGCACAGGCATTTTGCTTTTATAAAATATTGTTTAGCCTTGACACAGTAGATTTCTCGCACAATTGAGAAAACCCATTAGGGAAAGCAGTGTGATCAAATTTGGTCCGCCCATTAGATTTGATGCGCAAGCCCCGAAAAAAATTCGATGAAAGACGCTAATTGCATATTCAACAATTTCTCTGTTCATTTATAAAAAATGAAAACAAAATAGCCTTTGCCCCTAAG